AAATTTGGCCTTGGTGGTGAGTTGGTAAGAAACTTGGAGACGCGAGATGAGATGTTCTAGACGCAAGGGACTTGCGGGAAGAGCTTCTGAGGGTGCGGTGAGTCCACGGGCATTGCGATGAGGGTAAATGAAGAGGGAGGGGCTACGGGAGAGACCGGGAAGAACAACGCGGGAGGAGGCGTAGAGTGCGTGGAAGATTGGTGCGTAGGGAGTGAAGTCGACAACACCGACTTGTAGATTCAGGAGATGCATGGCTTGGGCGTAGGAGCCTAAATGTGGAAAAGGTTATTATTATTATTATTATTTATTTATACCAAATGTCAGGCGTCTTGATAGTTATCATTAGCCCTTTAGTTGACTTCAGGCTTCACAGAGGGGAGGAGGGACACCAAATCGAAAAAAGTCGAGAGGGGGGGGGACCGAAGAGTGTTTCAAAGATGCAAGAGACAAACACAAAGGTAAAAAAAGTTAAGGTGAGTACTGTGGAAGTAGTCGAATATGACATACAGTGGGGCCATGGTAGTTTGAAGTGAGAAGTCAACTGCCAGTTAATAGACTTTTTTGTCGTAAGAGTGTACGTTGACCAGGGTGCACCACGTGGAAGTAAGTCTATCGCACACCCCAGGTTATCATAATCATCAATAGTAAAAATAATGACGCAACATTGTACGGGTGGTTTGTAACTACGGAAAGGGTAGACAAATGCTCTGAATCGAATGTTTTTTGAATCATTGGAATTTTAAATGGGGCTTTTTAAGTGTCATTAACTTCTGCAAATCATAGAAATATTGCAAGAACGAAATGAACATGTTGTAAACAACCTCAGTTTACGAAATTTTACTTTAGATCTCACTTTACACAGAACACTGAATATCACACTCATAAATTGTCATGTATACACACTTAATCAAATAAAAATCCCAAGAGAATTGATTGAAATTAACAAATATAAATGATGTCTGTGTGTAAATGGATAGTAACCGTTCAGAAAAGGCGTCCAATTCTAAGAAGTTTATAGGGAATATCTCGAATAACAAAGGCGAGACAATACATATTATTGAAATAACTGAATTCTAATCTCTGTACCTCCAGAAAAGCCGCAAAGGTTTTGCATTCACCCTGTCTTAGGCACGCGCTCTAATTGACTAGACCATTAAATAAATAGGTGAAACAGTATATTTACATGGATACAACACACATCAGCCACAACTATAAATGCTCACAAAGGTTAAAGTCCATAATGCAAATAAAAAAAGTTATTTTTAAAATTTTGATTAGTTAAGTGAGAACAAAAGTGGTGATGGGAAGTGGGGGGGGG